GTTTCATATGTTGCTGTCGTGAATGCCTGTGTACCCAATGTGTTTTTTCTTTGGGGTCTCCTGATGTCAGTAAGCCCTCCAGAAACTCTCTCTTCCTAATGCATCAACTCTGTCTTGCTTTCTCCACCTTCTTCTCTCTTAGTTTCTCCTTGAGGGTCCAACCTGCCAAATCTATGGCTATAGTCTATAGTATACAGTAGGAGTTGTTTCCTCTTCCCCTCTCCCCTGTCCTTCTTTATCCTATCCTGTTCTGGAGTCCCCAGTTGTTGACTCTGCCCCACAAGTGCATGACATCAGTCTGTACCAGATCCAGGATTCCAATTTATTTTCCAATTAATAGTGCTTAGGCCTGGGCAGCTACAGCAACGGATTCCCCTCCCACTGACACCCACGCCCCCCATTCACCCCTTTTTTGGATGACATCCAACTGGTCAATGTCAGCCCTCAACTCTTTCTGCTGCTTATGTAGCTGCATATAACTTTACTTCGCTTTTGGAGGGTCTGCTCAGAATACATTTCACCTTGTAAACTTAAGCAGGCAGCACCTCACCTCTGTATTACATGTCAGGATAGTCTTCCAGGTCACCACAGTTTTCTGGTGCCCACCATAGAGTTCCAATCTCAAACTTGCCAGGCCGCTACCTGCTATGCAGTAGTTCTCTTCCTGCTTCCATGTCTTCCATTACTCTTTTTTTTTCCTGCACTGTCTTCTACTCCCCACCAAAGAATTCCAACCCCAAGCCAGCTGGTCTTGCTGTTGCTAGCTTCTAGTGCTGCTACCTTTTGGCTGACTCACATTTAGTTACCTGTAGAACTGTATACGTACTTTTCATGCCCTGCATCTTCAAACAAGCTGAAGCCTCTATCCTATGCACATTTGTTTATTGTTTATGTCACGATTGTAATCCCTCCTCTTAATGGCGCTCTGGCTCTTTAACATTTTACTTGATCATGTGCACCTACCTCCAATCCAGCCCCTCCTCCAGACACTCACTCTATTCCCAGCTCTGCAGTGGAAGATGGACTCCCGGAGGCCTGCCTACCACCGAGTCGCCCTACATCCGTGGCTTGAGGGCATAGGCCTCCTATCGGCATCCCAACCCAGCTGAGGGCACAGATCGCCTGGTCTCATTATCCCCATTTTTTATTCCCTCCTCCCTGTGTCTGTTTCACTTCTTCACTGCAACTGATACTGAGTTGCACTTAGCTTACTGTTTCATATCTGCATCTGTGTTTTGGTGATTCTTTTGGGGGGATGTGACAGCACTGAACTGTGACCAGCACTGTCATTTCCTCTGCAAGGTGTGTTAAAGCCAAAGTACTAAGCATACTATTCCTTTATATTTGTTTGTTATTACTTTTGTTTTGTTATTACTAGAATTTGACTGAATAACTAAACACTAAGAAATTGTGGAGCTAATTCCTTATTCCCTATAAGAGCAGCTATAAACCAATATCTGATGAAGAGCAGTATGTCTGGGATGTTTATACCCTGCATGCTGAGCAGAGTGCTGTAAAAAACACCAATAAGGAAGAGATTTATACTGTAACACATTTTCTTTTTTTGCCATAAAACTGACTACAGCAAAGCAGAGGGAATTGAGGAGAATTTCTTAAAGTCTTTAAATGCCTTTGTACAATCATAGTACATTCACACTGCTTTTGCACTTCATTTGTAAAATGGTCCTCAGGGTCAAACAGAAAGCAGACTGACCATTTGGCATTTGATCCATTGACACTGGGTAATCTCCAGCACCTTAAATGGAAAAACCTTGTCTCAGCAGTTTCCTTTTTTCCACTTCAACGTAAAGCAGAGATGTTTAAAGCACAAATGTAACAGATGTGAGATACATTATGAGATGCAGTCTTTGCTCCTACTGTATACATTTTAGGACCGCTAGGAAGTTTATTTGTTTGCCTAAAGGAAAAACTGATGAATTAATACATTAGAATTGAGACAGTTTAGATGCCAGTTTTTGTCATTAATCTACATATATTTATTTTCCTATTTTCAGGAAATGAGATGCGAGCTATTGAAGATAATGATGAAGATGAAGTTTTAACTTTGTTGTATGACCCTTGCCTGAACTGCTACTTTGATCCAGAAACAGGAAAATATTATGAATTAGCATAATATGAATACATATCTGGTGGAAACATCATTTTGATTTAGATTTTTTAATGTAAAAAATATTTTAAAATGTTTAAAAAACAGCTTGAGAGATTAAATTTGTTTTTGCTGTAATATATGCATGTTGATATATATTGTTACTCACTAGCATGCAAACTATATTTGCAATGTTTAAAATCAACATCTAAAATAACTGTGAATGAAAAGGAGTAAATAAGTGTATATTGCTTGTGTAACAGTCAGTGAAATTCTTTGGAACCAGCTAAAAGCTGGGAAGACATGGTGGGTGCACTAGAAACCACTGAAAAAATGTGTTCAAGTATCGATTCTATTGGTAATGAAATAAAATGTGTGGGCAATACAAAAACATAACAATGGTTAAATTGAAACTTCCAGGATACTGAGAAATATAATCTACACTATGCCATTGAGCAGCAGATTATATTTGATTTTGAAAGCAAAAACATTTATGTTGGTTTTTATGTATTGTCTATGTTAAATTAAATATTTGTAATAATGCACAAAAAAAATGCTGTACTTTTTCTTTATTCCATTAATATCAGTAGTTAAAGTACTTTGCTGTGAAAAAGTAGGTATTCAGTAGTACTTGAACCAGTCCCAGAGGAAGATTAAAAAGGCATTCTTCTCACTGCCAAGGAGAGAGAGTAGTGTACAGTATTTCCAGAGTTAACAACTGCACAATAAAATAGCATAACTAATTATTTACTGCGACAGCTATGTAAAAACACATAATGAGTTTTAATGAAAGGGAATCTTGTGTAGGTTACAAACAATCACTTCCCAGTGGGGGACTTCACTTGGGGAATTTGTTTAATCTAAAAAAGACAGCTTGGCATTGAAATATTGAATTTTTTAGAAAGATTTTGTTTTTTGTTTTATGTGGTATATGCATATGCAGTCTACAAGAAAGAAAGAAAGAAAAGCAAGGACCCCGTTTCTGTTTTCTTATGCAAGGAACATATTCAACACAAATTGAAGAGGTTATTGAAAAGAAAGCAAAGACCAAACAGTTATGTATTGGAATAATAGTTAAAAATATAGTAATGTCAAGAACAGCTCTGTTTCTATTTACCTGATAGTTATTTTAGGTCAATAATATCTCAGTGATGAGCAACCATTGTCTACACTCGAGGACATCTGAGAAAAAAATGGATGAGAAGTTCTCTGTGGTATGAAATGGCAGATTGTGCAAAAGTAATGTTTTTTAGGGTTTTTTTTAGGCAGAAATGGGTCCTCAGTATCCACTGTTTCAGTGGGAGCTGACATTATTGTATATTAAATGTGTAATACTGTCAATTACATTTAAATAATGAAAACAGTGTGGTGTAGATATGTACTGTATAGTAAGTATCTTCTATTGTGCTTTTACAGTAGCCTAAAAAAATAAAGTCAACATTTTTAAACAATAAGTCTTTTTCTGCAAAACGGGACTCAGCTGTGCTATATATATTGTGCAGAAATTGTACTGAAAGTCACCATCATAGGTTTTTCTTTCTTTCCATTCAAATTTGCTTTTCATTACGTGAATAAACTCCTACCTTATATTTTATTATTTTTTTATTAAAAAACAAAATATTTCACAGGTGACCACTTGCCATTTTAACATTTTATACATTTCTAGGAGGTTAAAAGGATCCTCTGTATTTTGCCGGCAGTGTAGTAAACAACTAGACCCTATGCAGAGCATTTAATCCAGATCTGAGAGCTATCTGATTGAGGCAGAGCAGAAAGCTAAATCCAATATTCAAAGCTGAGGACGAGCATCCAGAGAATCCAAAGGAGAGAAATGAGCGAAAAGAGTAAACTGAGCTGGCAGCAAGCTGACAAGTCAGAGACTCTAATACCAAGCATGGCAAAGTGAGACAAGAGGGTTTAAATAGAAGAGAGCTGAGACGTGATTGTAAAATTAGATAATTAGTGAGGACATGTGTAGAATGTGGTTTTTACACTGGGTATTTGTCATCCTACAGTATATAAAAGCCATTACAAAATTTACATTGAGATTCATTATCTTCAATTATTTTTTTATAGGAGCCTGAAGAAGACTTAAAGAATGCATTAAGACATTTATAAAGAACGGTGTCTGTTGTGTCTCTGCAAAAGAATCAGGCATCAGCAGAAGCAATATAATACTAAAATTGAGAACAAGGAAATAAAAAAATTACATGTGAGTTTGGGAATTATTCATGGATGGTAACTGAAGTTAATTCTCTTTGCAAACTACACAAAAACTTCAGGAGGCACTGACAAAAGTATTGTACAGTAATGAGTATGCGTTAATGCATGCAAAAACAATGTAAGTGTTGCTTCCAATTATAAATTACTTTATTTTTACACACTACAGTACAGCTGGTGTGGAAAGAGCTATTACTACACTATTTATACTGTACATACAGTATTAGTAGAGATATTGCTACACAGATATAAAATAAAAGTTGATTTAGATATATTTCACACCTTAAAAGAGTTGTTACTTTAAGTAGCAGATATAACTCACCAACCATCCATATTCATACAGAACATTGCTGTCAATGCTTTTTGTTGCTCTCTGCGTAAGACAGGTGGCAAATGATTGAAGACCATTTGGCCAATCTACAGTAGCTCATTAGGCTGCAAGCCAATTGGTCTAAGGGTCTCATACTGATATTTACTGAAAACTGCCAGGATATCAGCTTTGACAACGGCTGGGTTGCTGGGTAGCAGACTCCCACAACCCTTAGTATAAAGATGTTCTTCCTGATCTCAGTTTTAAATACAATTCCCTGTAGCTTCCACTTGTGTCCTCGGTCTGTGTCTCACTGTCGATTCTGAAAAGTCCATTGGATTGAGCTTGTTCTCACTAGTGCATTGCTCACTTTTAAGATAACATTATTTTATCTACAGTACGTTATATATCATATGTTGTAGATTATCTATGTTGTATAGTGTATAATGAAATTATAGTTTTAGTCTGTCTAAATATTTTTCTTTACAAATTTATTTTCAGCTTCAGACTTGTTTTCTAATTCTCCTAATTTGGTATCTTTCAAATATCATTAGTTTACTAATTATACTAGAGTCTAGGTCAGTGATTTCAATAAGGAACAGTAATGGTCCTAATACAGACCACAATATCAGCAAATAGTGATATTTGTATTAGTGATACTTAATATAACACGATGTAATGTATATGATAATGTAACACTAATTACATTACACCTGATTAGAGCATGTCTCTTATGTATACACTCTGTTTATTTTATCCATTATTTAATTCACAAATGAAACAAGCTAGTTAAGCAAGACCTACAGTATCTCTTCTGAATACTTGCTCACTATTTGCTGATATCTTATTTCCACATACAGTAGATTATCTTCTAGCGTAGCGTAGTTCAAATGATAGATTCAGTAATCTTACACATAATAGAATCATTCTATAATTACTTAGTTCGGTTTTGTTACTCTTTTTATGAAAGGCCACTACATTAGTAATTTTCCAGTCAATGGGTATTACACCTGCCTTGTCTTTTCCTTCAGTGCAATAGGTAGAAATCCATTAGGACCTGGAAATATTTTTATTTGTAACTTTGCTTGAATATTAAACCAAACTCAAATGTAGAGCGTACAGCTATCCTGCCAGTAAAGGTACAGTACTTTATTTCTTTACATTTTAAAACCAGTAAAGTCACCACACAAGACTTTGCTCTAACATTTAAGCACTTCATTTCCTTCAGTGATCTCCAAAATTATTTAGCTTTAGCTACTGTACATCACCCTCAGCGACTTTCATGATACCTTTACTTTTAATACTACATCAACAATTATATAGTTACCAGTAGGTGGTACCGACTACCAACTAGCTCAACTGTACGCGCAAAAGTACAGTTCAGGGGTCAGGTTTTTTCCCAGAAGGGACTCGATTCATTGATACCTGTACATTTCTGTTGGGACATTTCTGTAAAATCTTTACGCCAATAATGTTAAACGTTTTGCTTCTTTATACGATTATTTAAACCCTCAGCTTTGTTAACAAATTTAATTTTGTTTTCAAAGGAAAATGCAAATCAAGCATAAACCATTTAAATGTTTTTAATCGCACACTATGTCTATATAAAATCCTTTATAGACATTTAGCCAGCTAAGATAAAATAAAATTATAGTATAGTTGATAATATAATACAGTATTCTTTTTCAATATTTACTATTTTCTTGACGAAATTATTAAAGCTTGACGCAGTTGATAATCAGTATGACTACTTAAATAAGTCGTCTTTTCTTCTACTATTTTAGGTAGACTGCTCGGGTTACAGCTATTTAAGATTTTTCTATTTAAGATTAAGAAATCTATAGTTACAGCAATGATTTTCAGGAAACTTTATTTGTAGATTAATGTACTGGTCCTGGTCACGTCCTCCCTGCAAGGAGAAGTGTTGTACAGTATCTTCACAGATCATATAAAACTGTCTATTATATAGTGTATTGTAACGCAACGGGGGCTCAGGCGGGCGCCCTTGCCGCATTGGGTCGGCCCCCCCACTGTCGGGGACTCGAACCCGGGACTCCCACATCACTCTACAGGGACCCAGCTCGGTGAGCCGAAGAGAGATCTCTCTACAGCCCAGTAGCTGTAGTCCTGCTATCACAGGGAAGGGCGGTGACATCACCTGCTCTGGTACGCCGGCTCTTACACAGTGCCTGTCGGCCGTAAGCGTTACAGTGTAATGTCTGAAGAGTTCACTATTGACATCATTGAGTGGGTTAGGATCCCCTAACCCACTGCAGCTACTGCGGCTTAGGAGCTGGAGTATGAAATTACCGTACACTGCACTGATTGGCCTCAAACAGGAAAAAAGATCTAAAGATATTTACCAC